CTTAGTACTCATTGTCAGCGGAATAGTTGACGAAGTCCTTCAATCATGTCGTTGTTGAAAAGAAAACACCAAAGGACACGTAATAGAGCACGGCGATTCAATTCCGAAAAAAATTTGCAGCTCTGTGAACTGAAATATCGTCCAATCCGCCTACTGCGACACAGCATAGATATCTTCAGTTATTAATCGTAGAGCCGTCCATCTTTCCATCAGTTGGGGCAGCTTCGCAGCAGACTGGAGCACCAGAACACCAGAACTGCCGCACTTCTCCTGCTAGAGAGACATCATGAGAAGCAAAACCACTGCATCCAACTTTGCGCCTAAAAAGGGCATTCGATCACGCTCCGCGTGAACGTATGTGGTACGTCCTACGACAGCACGGTGTTTTGGAAGAACTCATAGAGTTGCCGATCGGGACGCCAGCTTAAAGAGCAGCGCACAAACAACAACAGGGACCACGGTAAAATTACCCATCACAGTGAAGTTCATCGCAGTGCGCTCTCTCCAATTCATTCCGTGGTCGTCAGAAATGCCCTCCAGCGAGATCATCGGAAAAGGAATCCTTAGGGGCCCTTCCAAGCAGACGATGATGCTCGACAGTGGATGTGAGAGCGACGCAAGATTGGTCTAATTGCCCGGCAAAATTCGGTGTTAGGGTGATTTCAAGAAAAGCGAGACCGATTCTGTTAAGCGTGTTTGGTGTCATCGAGACCACATTTACAAGAAGCTTCGAGTACCTTAAAGAAGAAATCGTGTTGGATGGCACCCTTGACCTCACCTTCAGAGGCTAACTTGCGGGGGAGATCAGCAAGAATTAAATGGCGCTCTATTACTGGAATTCTCTGGAAGAATACGACACCTCAACTTCAAGATCTATAGAACGTGGTTAGACCAGTAGCGTCGTACGAGGCTGGGTGCTGGCCAGCAAAAAAGAAATCGAATCCCGCCTTAGTGTGACGGAGATGAAAGTGTTAACTGCTAGCTGTTAGTTGACGGCCACTGCCACGCGTACGGATCGAATATGACATTCGAAAAAATTTGGCGTAGCTCCCGTAATTGATAAGATGCGAAAGCGTGTCTCCGATGGTGTGGCCACGTACACCGCAACTGGTCTCCAACTTGAAGTGCTCGAAAAAACCCTTGAAGCATGCCACAAACAATGTTGACTCGACACGATTCTAAAGTAATTGGTGCCTAACCGGATCAGACATTATCGGGTGAAATGGTGTCACAGTCAGAAGAGCAGACCCACCAAAGAAAGCGACAAACGCTGAAAAGTAATATGTAAAGACAAAGGTTCCACTACCTCCCTTCCCCTTTTGCTCC